CTTTCCCGTGTCATTTTATAAAAAGCATTTCAGCATCTCCTACCCTACCCATTCCCAGTCCAGGGCTCCAGTCCATCTGTGAAAGGACAGAGCGATGCACCAAACACAGCACAGCTGAGGCCCAAACATCGGGTCTGCGTGCGTGCATGCGTGCATTTGGACAGGAAGAGCAGTGGTGGTGGCCAGGAGATGCTATGAGTGCCTTGGTGAGCGGTGATGTCTCTGACCTGCCGCACAGACCTGCCTTCCCTCTTCCCCACAGGCAGGTACTAGCACGCACCACAAGGAAACTCTTGAACTTTGCTCCCCTGGTAGCTCTGTCTTGCATGCTGAGATAGAACAGATATATATTTTATTTATTTTTTATCTTAAGGGGAGGGAGAATATCTAGCAGTCCCAGACTGTTAGGTTGTTTGGCGGTGCAGACTTTCTGGTGACTGTAACTTTCTTTATGTCTGGCACCCAAGCATGGAGTGACAGTGGCGACATGCAGCCTGAGTCTTAGGGAGTGACACAAAGAGTGGCAGCACCCAGAGCAGTGCACAGGAGACTCAGCAGCAGAAGCAGCTCGTCTCCACTCTCCACCAGAGTGAAGCAGCTGAGGAGCTGTGGGACACAGAGTGCACAAGCCTTAAAGGGGCTGGAGAGTGTGGAAAGGATAACAAAAGGGCAAAGGAAGCAAATCTATAGCTTTGCCAGGAAGAAAACCACAGAGGAGTCTTTGCTGGGACAAGCTACCATGCAAAAGGCCATGCAGCGTACAAGAAGTACTAAGATGAGTGGTCACCCCAGGAGCTCAGTCTGCAAAGAGCCTCTGTTCTTACAGTCACATGCCCCAGATGATTACTTTCTCTTCATCTTTGATTCCCATCTCCATTAGCAGCCTGTTGGCTAAGATTTCCCGTGTTTGTCAGTCCTATGTAGGCCTGCTGCTCTGAGGGCTTCTTGTAGTATCTGCAAGTTGGATCCATTTGGATTCACTTCACTTTGATGTAGTTGGGAGCTGTACTTCATTAATGACAGCACTCGCAAGCTGGATTAAGGTCTTTCGCCTTCTTTTGAGTGGAAGTGGTTCATTGCAAAAGATCTGGTTACCTTAAAATACAAATCTGCAAGAGGTATGTTGCAAATTGAATTTTTTAGTTCTCTCTGGCAAGCAGTTATCAGTAGCACAAGCTTGCTACCTCATCCAGTTGCTGAAAAAAGCCACAATGATGCTGATATGAACAAGAGCCACCCACATTTAACATGTAGACAGCATTAACAGCATTGAACATGCTAGTATCAACCAAGGGCACCAGCAAGAGAAAAGGAGAAGTACCTGATTAGCACTGTTACTATATCAAGTAAGAGACGGAAAAATCTTATGAAGAACAGAAGCACAGGAGGGTTTCACGTGGTTACCAGCACTGTTTGTACCTCACTGCTCTCCACTTGATCCAGCCTCTCTGCCCTTTGAAGTGCAAGAAAATTCCCAAAGGGGAGCTTACTACAGGTCATCCCTGTACAGCAGCTAAAGCAGCAGCTCCATCCGTGACACAGTTGTCCAGCATGTGCTGTTTAAACACACTCATCGCCCTACAGGTTGCACAGAGATACTGGCTCTAATTTGGCCTTTGCGAGTTCATCAGGGCAGGAAAGTGCTGCCGGATTGCCCCTGAGGAGTGCCTCTGGGGTAACAGCACCAAATTGTTTGAAGCCACTGCCAAACATCAGGGAGCAAGGTGTCAGTTTGGGTTAAACGTCCCTGTGTATGAGGCTTGTGTGGGACCACCTCCTGCTGCAGCAGTGATCCAGCATGGGGACCCACATCCCTCTTTTCCCCAGTCTGGCCTCACCATGCAGGCCAAAGGGGTGGTGGGAGCGCTGCTGCCCTCTGCTACCCCCATCATCACCTGCACCTACGCTGCTCCTAACTCTTGAATGTGTGCTGCATCTACAGCCCAGGGCACAAGCAGAGCGAGCATGTTGGCCTTGCAGTTCTGCACTGAAACCACGCCAGGTTGGTTGCATTTACTTAAATCCTTCTTGGCTTGTTAACAGAAACCTGGGTCAGGAAAAGGTTTCTGGGGTCGTCAAATCCAGTCCCTCGTGAACACAACAAGAAGCTTGCCCAAAATTCCCACCTAGCTCCATCTTCATGCCAGTTTGGACTTGTGCCCTCACTGCTGGCATTAAACAGCTGTTCCCAAAGTTGCTGCACTAATGGTTGCCACTGTTGTTAAATCTGTAGTCAAATCCATTCAAGTCCTATTTAAACCCATTTGTTCCTTTGCCAGGATAATTTAAATATCATCCCTGGAGTTCACACTCTCCCCTGAGGCTCCCCAAGAGCAGTCATGCTGCTTTCCAGCTTTGTTTTGGCTGGCAGAAACAGCCAAGTCTCCATTCCTGTGGTTATCCTAAGCAATCCCCCACTTTGCTTCAGTTTGTTTTTGACAGTGGGGACACACATCCCTCCATCAAGCTAACACCCAGCACACTCTGCAGATGCCAGCCCTCAGCCTCAACCAGACAAGGGTGTTTTCTGTTTCTTATGCTCACTGTTGCATGCTCATACCAGCAGCGCAGTGTGGTTTGGAGATCCAGCACCCTTGGTCCCACCATATCCTGAACCACTCGTCCAGTCCTCTCTGCAGCACACTTCTCCAAAGCAAAAATGTGGAAATTGCCCATTTCACCACCTTTTTTACCTTCCTGTTCCTCCAAACAAATAATCCTAATCATGAGCTAGGTAACAACAGCTAAAGAGTGCCTGGTAAATACGAAACTGTGTAGACAGTGACATTCAGTGGCACAATTGCAAGCCCCAGACAAGTCACCATCACCAACCAAGAAATGTTCATTCCCCCTCACACTGCCCCTGTCACAAAAAAAACACCACTTCATTCGTAATCACTTACCTTCTGCCTTGACAATAAGTTGAATTTTTGCAGCCTTTGTCCCATACGGATATGTAGCAAAACTGCACTCGTACTGCCCACTAAGGGAGACAGTAACATTTTTCAGATGCAGAGCCAACTGGTTGCATTCAGATGTGTTTGGATGGGGGGAACACAAAGCCTCTGTAACATCTTTGCTGCAGCACTTCCTCTTGCTGAAGGACACTGAAAAGTTGTAAGAAGCCTCAGGAAAGGTGAAGTAATGGGTGCCATAAATGGGGTGATAAACAGCTATTTTGGTAAGCTGGGCGTCATCAGTCCTGGACCACTGTGTCTGTATTATGTGGGTGGTGTGTGGTTTTAGGAAGCTGCACACCAGGGTCACGTCAGTACCCGGCAAAGCATGGACCACTTCTGTTTGTGTAATGACGTCTTCAGGCTGGCCTTAAAAACAAATGAGACTATTTTCAGTGCAATTAATGTTTAAACAAAGCTTTTTCCTAAGCCATCTTTGACATGATTTGATGCTTTAGCCAGAGACAACTATGGAGACCCTACAACTGTAACAACAGGCTTTTGGGTGAGGAGCTTTACAGCAGATCTCCACCAGTACAGACTGCAGAGATAGAACTGTGAGAGCAAATGTGCACTTGTCTGGAAGAGAATGGGGAGCTCCAATTGGGCTCACAGCAGAGAAACGGGAGCTCTGAGGGCCTCTGTGAAAATGGAAATATTTCAAGTGATATAAATAAAGTAGAAGCTGGGCCCAGTTATTCTCCAACTCTATTTGCAAGAACAAATGAGTTATCCCTGCTGGCTAATTCTACCCAGCAGCATTCCCCCTGCCCATTGCCATTGCTTCACTGCTTCAACAGAGAAAGCTGTTATTTTACTTCCATGTTATTAAACAGCTCCTGGATGGCCTAAACAAGCGTCAATTTCAGTGTCAGAGTGAGCTGACCTGGTATGTATGGTTTCTTCCTCAATTAAATGAGGAAGCCTCCATAAAGCATGCTGGCAGTCCTTAGTGTGCCATATAAAGGAGTAATGGATTGGTGAAATGAAGGGGCTTTCAACAGGAGTCTGTAGTACTTGGTTTTGCTGCTGCTGTAGTAAAATTGATTTGTCTCCCTTTCTCCCTCTCATGAACAAGGGGCTCCTAGTCCCCAAACACCTCTTTGCAGGGCATTGACAAACTCAAGGAGACGAAGAATTTATGGATGGGGGAGTCGTAATGAGACAAGTAATCAATCACACCCATGGAGCTGTACACATAAAGGTCATTTTTCAAAAGGACATGCAGGTGCCCAGAAAAAAATGTGTTTGTGCAGATGTTCTTAGGTACAGACTTGTCATCCCCCATCTCCATTGGATTTCATCCTCCCTCTATGTCAAAACTTCACTGCAAATTTGCTTTGGGAACTTGCCCTGCAGTCCCACTGGCTGTGCCACTGACTCCTCATGTCAGCGAATGCACACTGCTGACCTTCTTTACTTGATAAAAGTACATACCAATTTCTTTGCTTTGACATTTTTTCTGCTGTGTGGCACAGGGATTTGGGGTGTCTGAGCCAGGGGATGCCCTGCCAGGGGCCAGGTAGTTTTGACAGTGCCCACAGAGGGGATGGCGAGCCCCACTCTCTGCCAGCTCAGCTAGGAGTGAGACGGGGACCCAGCACACCCACAGCTCCGGTTTGAGAGGGAAGAACAAGGGCAGAGTTCCACATCCCCACAGAGCTGGCTGAGATTTGGTATCTCACCAATGAAGTGTGACATGTAAAGACTTGGTGCATGGAGAACAAAGCTGCTGAATGGCCATGGGCAACATTAATCTCTGGTTTTTATTGACATGCATGCTCTGCTCATCTTTTAGTTGACTTCTAAGGGATGGGATGATGTAAGAGGGTAAATAAAAGTAAGCCTGAGTGACAAGTGCTGTGAGAAAAATTACTGAAAACTATTTTTGTCAGTCCAAGGAGCTTATTATAGCAAATTCTCACTGCTTTCACTGCAAGTTGTGCACCAGGAAAAGTTAAGTAAAAAGTGATTAGCAATCTTGTCATCAGACTAGCAGGCAAGGGACACATAGCAAGTTCTCTCTCATATTCATACTGATGCTGTATAAGATCAAAGGACCATGTAAAGAATGCCTGTCAAGAATTACTTGAATATTTTATATTAAGATGAAAAAGTTACATATGTAGAAACAGCATTTTAATTTATGCTTTTTGTTAGCAGCCTAGCACTTAAGGCTATTTTAACTGAAATCCTTTAATGCAAAAGTGTTTTTAACTTTTGTTAGCATCTCGATAAAATCAATCTCATTTTATGCCAACTTTCTTTTTCCAAATCAAATGCTGTCCATTAGCCCATACTTGTTCTCCATTTGAACTTTAATAGAATAGCTCCCAGGCATTTAGATGTCTCATCTCCACAAAGGTTATGGTGGTGTCCACTTTCACCTTTGAGTGACTTCAGTGAGGACTTCATTCTCAGGGAAGGAAAACAACAGTCCTGGTTTTCCTTAAACAGTATTGCTTTCCTGCACATGCATGTCTTGAGGCTTCTGGTTCTTTCTTTGCATTTGAGAACTTTTATTTTCTTTGAATACACATATGATTTTTTTTCCTTTCTTTTAAAATCCAGTTTTCCTCAGTGAGATAGAAAATAGGAACAGCCTGTGCCAGATTTTAAGATGTATCTTACCCTGTAAGTCGAATACATGAACTTTTTCCTTTCTTAACTGGAAAAAGATGTGTCCTACAAAATTCTTCTTCCTAGCTGGTAATAAGTAGTCCTGCATTCAGCATGGTCAGCCTGTCTGGGGAGGTGGGTGGAGGGGGCTGCGAGCATCAGGCTTTTTCTTAGTTTTCCTCAGTTTGTTTTGAGTTTAAACTCCTTTTGATGAGTATGTGGTTCTCCTTACTCAAGTTTTCTCAGAGTTTTACTCCCAATTACAAACTTGTTTCTCAAGCCTTCAATGCAGCACATAAAGCTGGGTGGGGTAGAGGAAGGCAAGAATCTATTCATGGGGTTGCAGCTGCACAGTTTATCCTTCCCTTTAAGAGTTTCACCTCTTCCTCTCTCTGCATACACAGGTATTTGTGTGTGTGTGTGAGAGAAAGATATATTTTTTATTTGCTTTTTGAAATCAGTTTTCCTTTTTGCTCATTGGAAACAAGCACATGTTGCCCTAAATACTGCTCACCTCAGTGAATATTCTTGTGAAAACAGGTTAGGCATTTTGAATAAACTAATCTGCTAGCCAGAACAAGCCATTTACTGCTTACTAGCTTCACATTATAACTAAGGCTATTAGAAAGTTGTCAGGAAAAAGAAAATAATTACCAGTAGCTACCACATGCCCCAGTGAGACACACTAACCCCAGCTGGCATATGCGACCCTGCCCCTTGCCACCCTCCATCATAAGCTGAGTTAAGGTGTCCTGCTGACATGCTTACCTGCAACGCTGGGCACCCAGAGCAAACAAAAGAGGGAGAAGAGCCACCTTTTTTCCATTTTCACTTGATGAAGTTTTGGTAAATAAGTAGCACTCTTGGCCTGCTCCCGGCAGTGTCTCAGAAAAGGAAGTCGAAATGGTCTGCCCCGTACAGACAGGCAGACGTGCAACAGAGTCACACACATCACTTTAGCATGACTTCAAAGAAATGCTTCATTAAACGCAAAAGCCTCAGTTTCCTGCCAGAGTGATAAAATTAGTACATCTTGTGAAACCTTTATGATGAAAACTACCTATACTGCAAACCCATGTTCGAGATTACTTTTTTTTCCTTTGTCTTTTCAGATAAGCTTACAGTAAGCAGTTTACTAGGTTAAACTCTTTTAAAAACTTATCAAGTGTCTAAAGTTGAATATCTAGTAAAGTGTACAAAAAATTTGACTTTTTTTGCTCCTGTTTCAAGTCTTTCACATGTATAAATATGTGAAATATACTATTTCCAGACTCTGTGCACTCACTATCAAAGAAAACAGCAAAATAGGAAAATCAATCCCCCAAAATTAGGAGTGAACTGAGAGTTTTCCAGAGCCTTTTTTTTTTTTCCTGAGAAGCAGACCATTAATTATTTTCTGCAGGATGAAGCATTACAGCATCACACATGACAACATCACTTGGTATAGTTAACCCCTGTATCTCACTCTGCTCAGCTGGTAGCTTTGGTGTTGGTGCACAGCTCCTGCCAGTCCCATGACCTGTCTCTATTGCAGGTCACCTGTAAATCCTTCTGAACTCTCCTCGATGCATCCTGCATTTCCATAAACTAGGCATACACCTGTCAGCAGAGCATCTCATTGCAGATAGGTATTATGCAAACTGGACCTGCTGCTGATGGCTTTTCAGAAAGACAACAGATTTGAATTTTTGCTTATCACACTTCATTCCCCAAAACTAAAAGTGCAGGGTAGGATACCTAATGTACACAACATGAGCATATGCCATCTGCTGGCTCTTCCTGAGATAAGGTGGCTGTTTGGAAGTGCACCAGGGCAGGGGTCTGAGTGCTGCTGACAGCTCCCTCCCTGGTGGCCAAGGACAACCCACTCTTTGGACTTTCGGGAAGAGCCAATTACAGCCCATCCACCAGAGCAGAAAAAGTGAGTGACCTGAATGACACAGTCCTTTAAAAGGACGCGTCTCTTCAGCAGCACTGGTCTCCTTGGGGTGGCTGGTCTGTTTTTGGGTAATCCAGGTCCTGATATTTCTCTCCTCAAAGCATTTCTAGAGGGTCTGGGTGCCTTTGTCATCCCCTTTATTTTATGACACCCCTCTTTGTTGCTCAGTCAAGGCCTATGCCAGCCACCACCTGTGATTTTCTTCCCAACTGTTTTCACGTCCTCCTCAGCTATCTACTTTTGCTGGCTATGGAGCTCCCCATAGCTCCAGCTAAGGCACAGAGTTCAAGGTGAAAAAAAAAGACCTCACTGGTCATTTTCCTATTTTACACACTACCAGATGCAAACAATATCTATACCACTTCCCTAATTTGTGCATATGCAACCTTTTGGTAGCACACTTTAAGCAGGCAAAGGTCTCCAGCTGGCACAGCTGATACCGCTGGCCAGGCTACAGTCAGGCCTCCAGACACGTCTTGGAGAGTAAATGCTTCTACATGATTCCTTTTTCGTTTGCCTTGCTCCCCTACCTGAGGAAACACATTAAAAGCAGTCGTGGTAAATGCATTGGATGCCCAGGTTACTGCTCAGGGAATACTCTCCAGGGATAAAATATCTGCTTGTCACTCAGAAGCCTGACACAGAAATATCTGTCTCGGAGGATCAAGAAGTTCTGAAGTTAGGCATGAACAGAATATTCAAGCCAGTGTAATTGACAGCCACAAAAGGGAGTAAAAATATTAAAGGTTTATGTTACGGTTTCCAGTTCAGAGCAGAGACCACGAAGAAGCCGGAGATTAACTCAGGCTAG